TTTCTAAGATTTTTTTTATTTTATTTAAAAAAGTGTAAAATATTGTTGATAATTTTTAATTTTCGTGAAAGAAATGTAAAAATTTTTTGCCGACTTTTTAATTTTAGTGAAAAAAAAATATAAGTAAAAATTCTTAATGCTGATTTTAAATTTTATTGAAATAATTATTTAATTAAAAATTTTTTTTTATTTTATTAATTTTTTATGATTTTTAATTGCGTTATTGAAAAAATATTTTTCATTTTTTCGATAAAAATTTTCCATTTTATTAAAAAAAAAATATTACATTGTTTTCTACGACTTTGTTATTTTTTATTAAAAAAAAGTATAAAAATTTTTTTTGGCTAATTTCTAATTTTACTGAAAAAAATATAAAATTATTTTGATGGTGTTTTAAAATTGTTATGAAAATTCAAAATTATCGAAAATTATTTTGATGAGTTTTAATTTTTTTTAAAAATTATTAGAAATTATTTTTGATGATTTTTAATTTTATTGAAAAAGTTATGGAAAATTATTTGAATGATTTTCAATTTTAATGACAAAAAGTCAAGAATGTAAAACTATTTTTATGGTTTTAAAATTGTTTGGAAACTATTATGATTTTGAATTTTTTTGAAAGTTATGGAAAATTATTTCGATGATTTATAATTTTTTTTTCTTAATTATTGAAAATATTTTATGATCATTTCAATTTTAATGACAAAAAGTCGAAAATATGAAATTATTTCGATGATTTATAATTTTTTTTTCTTAATTATTGAAAATATTTTATGATCATTTCAATTTTAATGACAAAAAGTCGAAAATATAAAATTATTTTGATGATTTTTAATTTTTTTGATAATTATTGAAAATATTTTATGATCATTTCAATTTTAATGACAAAAAGTCGAAAATATGAAATTATTTTAATGATTTTTAATTTTTTTTGATAATTATTGAAAATATTTTATGATCATTTCAAATTTAATGACAAAGAGTCCAAAATATAAAATTATTTTAAGGGTTTTAAGATTGTTTAGAAACTATTATGATATTAAATTTTTTTGAAAGTTATGGAAAATTATTTTGATGATTTTTAATTTTTTTTGATAATTATTGAAAATTTTTTTAATCATTTTTAATTTTAATGAAAATTATACAAAGTTATTTCGATGATTTTTAATTTTAAAGAAAGTTATAGAAAATTGATATGATAATTTTCAATTTTGCTGAAAAAAAGTCGAAAAATAAATTATTTTGATGATTTTGATTTTTTTTTTTTAAGTTATTCAAAATTATTTTGATGATTTTTAATTTTAATTAAAAGTTAATAAAAATGTGAAATTTTGATTGTTTTTCAATTTTATTGACTAAAGGTCATAAATATATAATTTATTATGATGATTAAAAATTTGTTTTTGACAATTATTGAAAATTATTTTGATGATTTTTAAATTTATTGAAAAATTAATAGAAAATTATTTTGATGATTTTCAATTTTAATGACAAAAAGTTGAAAATATAAAATTATTTTGATGATTTTTAATTTTATTCAAAGATATGGAAAGTTATTTTGTTGATTTTCTATTTTAATGACAAAAAGTCGAAAATATAATCTTATTTTGATGATTTTGAAAATTATTCAAAATTATTCTGATGAATTTTAATTTTATTGAAAGTTATGGAAACTTATTTGCATGATTTTTAATTGTAATGACAAAAAGTCAAAAATATAAAATTATTTTGTTGATTTTTAATTTTTTGGAAATTGTTGAAAATTATTTTTATGATTTTCAAATCTATTGAAAATTATAGAAAACTTTCAAAAATTATTTTCAATCTTTTGCAATTTTATTCAAAAGAATATAAAATCTTTTTGCTTATTTTAAATTTTATTTAAAAAAATATAAATGTTTATATCCGCTAATAAATTTTTCCGTTTCTTCCCCTTTTTTGCATAAAGAAAAATTTATTTTTCCCCCCTCTCAAAAATGATAAAAATATTTATAATTAAGAAACCTAACAAGTTTCAAAAAGGAAGAAAAATTTTTTCCCATAAAATTTCTTGTTTTTCTTTTCCTTTTTTTTTATAAACGCCTCTTAAAACTACTTAGACACAGTTTATCACATTCATTTTTTTTTCTAAATTTTTTTTTCTGTTTTTTTGGTAAATAAAGTAGGGACAATTAGTCACGTAATTTTCATTTGGTAATTAAGAGCGATCTCCGTCTCCCTTTTCCACTTTTTTCACCTACCGGCGAGCCTACCGGAAAAATTTTAACCAAAAGAATAGTCACGGATCAATAAAATGTTAAATATCGTTTATAATGAATTTTTGACTATTCTTTTACGGACTAAAACGGAAAAAATTGAACCGTGATTCCTGTGATTTTATATGAGAGTGTGAGAAAATTTTTTCCCATTGTTTTTTTCTTCTCGAGGGCGAAGAAGAAGTCTAATTATTCTTATTATTATAATATTGAAATAATATTTTTGATAATATTCACTATATTATTATTTACCTATTATTCTCTAAATTTTCAATTTTATTGTCAAAAAAAAAAAAAATAAAATAAAATCATTTCGATAATTTTTAATTTTATTATTATTATTATTATTATTATTATTATTATTATTATTATTATTATTATTATTATTATTATTATTATTATTATTAGGAATAATAATTTTTATTATTTTTATTAATAACAATTAACTGTAATTCACAAGTGAAAAATGAATTATATTATTATTAATAATAATAATAATAATTTTTATTATTTTTATTAATAATAATTAACTGTAATTAACAAGTTAAAATTGATGTATATTTATTTATTTATTTAAATATAAAATCTTGACTTAATAATTAAAGATTTCAATTTTGTTCCTTTTTCCAAAAGGCGACAAAAATTCCCTTTTACTACATTTATTTTTATTTTCCTTCCATCCTCAACTTTTTTTTTTCTTCTCGAAAAACTTTCCTCACGACCAAAAACCCTAAAAAAAAGGGTTTCTAAAAAGGGTTGAAAAGCATCGCAATAAATTTTTTTTGCACTCAATAGCCATTTTTATCAGAAAAAAAAGAAAAACGGTAAAAATATAAATTTATTTTCAAAGTGAAAATTGAAAGAAGAAGAAAAAGAAAAAAAGACAACCTAATAATAGTAGAAATGGCATTTTTATTGCTTTTAAAGGCATTTTTATTAGTATAACCTCTCGACGAATAGATCTTTTGCGCGGTAGCATTTTTCTGGTTATTTTTTTTTTTTTGCTTCTTCGTGTGTCTCATTCTTTTGAAGAAGAAATTTTTAAAAATCAAAAAATTTCTCAAACCTTTCCTCTCGCAGGTCAAAGATAAAAATAATAATAATATTTTTGTCGAAAGACAATTTTTATTGCACTTTTCAGGGACTTTCCCAGGATTATAAATATATTGAGAGAGAGAAAAATAGGAGAAAGATAGAAATAAAAAGGAAAAATATATTCAGGGATTAACGCTAATCCTTTTTTTTCTGAGAATTTTTCTCTTACGCTCTCTCTCATGTATTTAGTTTGGTTAGAATTTTACACAAATTTTATTCGAAAAAAAAGAAAAGAAACGAAAAAATAGATAAAAGAAAAAACAAAGTAGATTTTTTCAAATTTAAAAATTAATTCAATAATAATAAACTTAATACTTTTTAATAATAATAACGAATTTAATTATTTTTGATAATATTAACGAATTTAATTATTTTTGATAATAACAAATTTAATTATTTTTGATAATAGTAACAATTTGAATGCTTTTTAATAATAATGATAATAATGATAATAATAATTTAATATTTATTGTATTAACTCATTTTTTGTTTATACCTATAGGATTTATATATTTTTTTTATTATTTATACCATTTATTCTTCAGTAATGACCATTAAATATAAAATCGTAAGAAAGTAATAATTATTTTTTTATTTTAATTATTATTAATTATTTAATAGAATGTAAAAACTGTTTACAATGATCTACTGCGCATAAAAATGATGAAAATTGAACATTTTCGGACAAAAAACAACTTGAAATGATCTACTGCGCACAAAAAATTATCCTCACAATCATTTATAGACAAAAAACCGTTTGAAACAATCTACTGCGCATAAAAAATAATTGAAACGATTAAATGCGGATGAAAAATTAATTGAAATGATCTATTGCGCATGCTAAACAAGCAAAATGATTTTCTGTGCAAAAAAACGATTGAAACGATCATTTACGGACGAAAAACCGTTAGAAATGATCTATTGCGCATAAAAAATGATCGACATGATCATTAAAGAACGAAAAATTGATTGAAATGATCTACTGCGCATGGAAAGCGATCAAAACGATTAACTGCGCATAGTAAACGGACAAAATGATCTACTGCGCATAGTGAACGATCAAAATGATTTTCTGCGCATAGAACATAGTTGAAATTATCTACTTGGAATGTAAATTGTTTCGAAGCGATCTACTGCGCATCGAAAGAAGCAAAAAAATGATCTACTGCGCATATGGACAGTTTTGAAACAATTTATTAATTAATAATAATCATTGAATAGAAAATCGTAAGAAAATAATTATTATTTTCTTATTTTTAGTTATTATTATTTCTATTTTTATTATTACTATCATTGTTATTATTATTGTTATTATTATTGTTATTATTATTACTATTATTATTATTACCATCAATTTTTTTTATTTAAAGGTAAGTTTGGAGAATTACTTTGCGTCCGGGAATAATTTAATTTAATTAAATTATTCGTCGTTTTTTATAAAAAAAAAGTAAGTTAATATATTCATTGAATTATTTTTATTAATTAACTATTTTATTAAATAAAATATTTTTTTCTTTAGTAAAAATTTCCGTTTCTATAAAAGAAAATAGAAAAATATTAAAAAGGGTAAAAATTTCTGTTTTTCTTTTTCTTTTGTTTGAAAAAATTTTCTTTTTTTGAGAAGTAAAAAAAAAATAGTTCTTGACTCACCTGAGGGCACATTTTGCATTGATACTTTCGCGGAGGATGATTATGTGGTCCTCCAAGGTGTGGGTTCAGGTGAGATGGATGCGATGGTTTAACAGTCAATGGTTGAGGTACAACGAGAAGACTCGCGGGGGGACTTCCGCTACTACTTCCGCCCGCTCCACGATATTGATCGTCACCTGAACAAAAAGAGCAAAAAATTTTTCAAATTTATTTTTGCAAAAAAAATTTTTATTAAAAAAAAGAATGATTTTTCATATTGAAATTAATGGAAAAAATTAATAATACGTTTTTCTAATACCAAATATAGTTAATTAATAGGTAAATATAATTAAAAAAATAACATTTAGTAAATTGTTAATTAAAAATAAGTTATTTAATAAATAAAAGTTTATCCAAAATAGCGATAAGTAAATTAATAATAAATTGATAGTTGATTAAAAAAATTGGTAATTTAATTAATTCATCTGTATTCTTTAAATTGGAATTAATAAAAATGTTTTTAAAATTTAAATTAAAATTAAATTAATTAAATTAATTAAATTTAAATTTTTTAAAATCGTTTTTTTTATTGTTTTTTTTTTTTTTTTTTTTAATTGTTTCAAGTTTCGTATTTATTTTACTATTTAGTAAAATTTAGTAATTTCTATTAATTCATTTTGTAAAATCAAATATTTAGCAAATGTATTATTTAGTAAAATTGAGTAATTTCTACTAATTAATCAGCAAAATTTACTATTTAAAAAGCAAAAAATCATCCATTAATTCAAATTAATAAACATTTTTACTAATTCAAATTTAGAGTCTAACATATTGTTTATTATCAATAAACTCATTAACAAATGAATTATTAACAACTAATTTAGTAACAAATTAATTATTAATATAGCAAACTTAGTAAATAATTAATTATTACCATAATACCAACTTAGCAACTAAATAATTATTAATTTAATTTAATTAATTACTTAATAATAATTATCAATTAATTAACTATAACTGGATTAAATGAAAAAAAATTTTAATTGTTTATAAATAGTTACTAGTTATTTAGTCGTTTAGTTATTAATAATTAATTTATATTGTTTAATCAATGGTTATTAATTATTATAATTATTATAATTGTTGTTTAATAATTTTTCGTATAACTTTTATTTATTTCATTAAAATATTTGTTAATAATAATTTTTGTTATTATTTTTGTTATATTATTATTCTTTCTATTTTTTTATTATTTTGTTGTTGTTTCATAATTTTTCGCATAACTTTTTATGCGAAAATTTTGTTTAAATTATAATTATTATTATTGTTGTTGTTTAATAATTTTTCGTATAACTTTTATTTATTTTATTAAAATATTTGTTAATAACAATTTTTGTTATTATTTTTGTTATTATTATTCTTTCTATTTTTTAATTATTTTGTTGTTGTTGTTGTTGTTTCATAATTTTTCGCATAACGTTTATTTACTTTTTTAATAATAATCTTTGTTATTATTATTATTTCTATTGTTGTTGTTGTTGTTATTTAATAATTTTTTGAATAATTTCTATTGAAAATAAATAAATTGGAATGGAATGAATTATTGAGGATTTGAAAAATAGAAAAAAGTCCATAGGCGCCAATGTGAATAAAAGAAGAAAAGAAGAAAAGAAGAGAAGAAAAAAGGCAAAAAGTATTGAAAAATCCGTAAATCTGTTTAATGATTAAGATCTTTCTTTTTCGCATTACAGGTGGGTTTTACATTCTTCTCTTCCCATATGGTACTACTCTGGGAGTAGTAGTTGCGGGCTGATTAAGGGTTTAAGAACACTAACGAGCGCAATCTCTCTTTCTCTCTCTCTCTCTCTCTCTTATTTGCCGTGTACATGTGCTGGCTGCTGTTTCTGACTCCCGGTTATACACGATCGCATATAATATGTAAATGATAATTATCGGGTTCAAGCGCACTGGAATGATCAATTAGCTTGTGCCGCGAAATCAGAGAGAGAGAGAGAGAGAAAGAGAGAGACGTCGCACACGTTTAACGCAAATATCTATACACACAATATATAAGCAAAAATTACGCGCGTGTTTTCCTACTTTTAGTTCTCTAGTTCAATTATAATGTCTGCTTTAATTTTACAACAATATTAATGTTTCCTCTAATTTTACTGCAAGAAGAATGTTTCTTTTAAATTTAGTACCATAATGTAATTGAGTAGAATGGTATAGAATCGAATAAAAACGAAAAGAATTGAATTAAAGCGAATAGAATTGAATTGAAGCGAAAAGAATTAAACAATAACGAATTGAAGCGAATAGAATTGAATAAGAACGAATTGAATCGAATAGAATTGAATAAGGACGAATTGAAGCGAAAAGAATTAAATAATAACGAATTAAAGCGAATAGAATTGAATAAGAACGAATTGAAGCAAAAAGAATTAATTAATAGAGAATTGAAGCGAATAGAATTGAATAATAACGAATTGAAGCGAATAGAATTGAACTGAAGCGAATTGAAGCGAAAACAATTGATTAATAACAAATTGAAGCGAATATAATTAAATAATAACGAATTGAAGCGAATAGAATTGAATAAGAACGAATTGAAGCGAATAGAATTGAAGAGAAAAGAATTAAATAATAACGAATTGAAGCGAATAGAATTGAATTGAAGCGAATAGAATTGAATAAGAACGAATTGAAGCGAATAGAATTAAATTGAAGCGAAAAGAATTAAACAATAACGAATTGAAGCGAATAGAATTGAATAAGAACGAATTGAATCGAATAGAATTGAATAAGGACGAATTGAAGCGAAAAGAATTAAATAATAACGAATTAAAGCGAATAGAATTGAATAAGAACGAATTGAAGCGAATAGAATTGAATTGAAGCGAATTGAAGCAAAAAGAATTAATTAATAGAGAATTGAAGCGAATAGAATTGAATAATAACGAATTGAACTGAAGCGAATTGAAGCGAAAACAATTGATTAATAACAAATTGAAGCGAATTGAATTGAAGCGAATATAATTAAATAATAACGAATTGAAGCGAATAGAATTGAATAAGAACGAATTGAAGCGAATAGAATTTAATAATAACGAATTGAAGCGAATATAATTGAATTGAAGCGAATAGAATTGAATAAGGACGAATTGAATAGAACAGAATAGAATAAAATTGAACCGAATATGAAAGAATAGAATGAAGTGAAACGCAATAGAATCAAATATAATGTGAATAGAAAAGAATAGAATTAATTTTACGTTGATTTATAATCTAGAGAAATAAATTGTTACGTCTTTATTGGCGAGAAATATAAAATATTATTAAATTTGCAATAAACAATGTTACCTAAGATTAAAATATTTATAAACTGTTTGCTTTTATCGTTTTAATAAGTGCTACTACATTAGATAGACAGTGGAAGTGTCGTGTGTTTATTAAAAGGGGGACGATAGGTGAAACCAAACCACTGACGCAATCATTCAGTACAAGGGGCAAGGATCCCTGTAATTTGCAAGGACGCCTGTGATCCTGTCTTAACGAGTATGACCGTCATAAAAGAGACACGTTCTCTCTCTCTCTCTCCCTTTTACTCTCTCTCACTCTATGCGAATACATAAGTATATTAATATCGCTTGACGTGTCAGCAATTTGCCTCGTGATTTCGTTCAATATAATTCTATAAGGCGATTAAATAAACCCTTTTTCAACATACATATTATATGCGAAAAAAATCCTATTCTGTCTTATTGTTAATGAATATTTTTTTTACTTTTCTTCTTTTTACTCTTTTTCTCCTTTTCTTCTTCTTTTCTAAATAATAAACACTTCAGAAAATTTTTTATTGTTCCTGTAGTAAAGGAAAATTTAAAAATTGAAAGGAAGGAATAGAAATAGAATAGGAATCGAATAGAACCAAATTGAAATAAATATAACCGAATAAAGACGAACAAATACGAATAGAAACAAACAGATACGAATAGAAACAAACAGATACGAATAGAAACAAACAGACACGAATATAATCGAATAAAACCGAATAAAACCAAATAAAAAATATGAAACGAATAAACGCAAATGGAAACGAATAGAAACAATTAAAAACAAATAAAAATTAATAGATGCGAATAAAAACAATTTAAAACAAATAGAAAGAAATAGAAGTTATAATAAAAACAATCAATAAACGAATAGAAACAAAGAAACACAAATAGAAACGAGTAGAAACCATTTGAAACGAATAATAATGAATAGAAGCAAATAGAAACAATTAGAAACTAATAAAAAGAAATATAAGTTAATAAAAGCAATTAAGAAACAAATAGAAATGAATAAAAATAATTAGAAACGAAGAAACACAAATAGAAAAGAATAGAAACCATTAGAAATTAATCAAAATGAATGGAAACAATTGAAAACGAATAGAAAACGAATAGAAATTATTAGAAACGAATAACAATGAATAGAAGCGAATAGAAACCAATGGAAATTATTAGAAACAAGTAAAAATGAACAGAAGCGAACAGAAACAAATAGAAACGAATAGAAACAAATAAAAATGAATAGAAGCTAATAGAAACGAATAGAAACCATTTAAAACGAATAAAAATGAATAGAATCGATTACAAACAATTAGAAACGAATAAAAATGAATAGAAGCGAAAAGAAACGATTAGAAATTATTAGAAACGAGTAAAAATGAATAGAAGCGAATATAAACAAATAGAAATAATTAGAAACAAATAAAAATGAATAGAAACTAATAGAAGCGAATAGAACCCATTTAAAACGAATAAAAATGAATAGAAGCGAATAGAAACAATTAGAAACGAATGAAAAAAAAAGAAGCTAATAAAAACAATTAAGCAAATAGAAATAAATAAAAATAATTATTAAAGAAGAATTACAAATTGAATCATATAGAAAACCATTAAAAACGTATAAAATAAATAGAAGAGAATAGAAACAATTAGAAACGAATAAAGAAAAGTAGAAGCTAATAAAAACAATTGAGAAACGAATAAAAAGAAATGGAAACTAATGAAAAAAGTTAAAAAACGAATAGGAAGAAATAGAAACGAATAGAATCGAATAGAATCAGATAGACAGAGAAACAGAAAGAGAAAATAGAAAAAAAAAATTTCCAAAATCCGAATAATTATTTTCTAATTCATACAAAATA